GCGACCGTTGGAACATGAACGAGCGCCTCTCTTTCACGCTCTCATTATATATCAGCGCCGCTGGGATGAGAAAAATGAATTCTCGCCATCCACACACATGCACCAATGCCACTTACAGGTTTCTTAATGAATAACCTAATCCACGATGGGCTTAGCGCACACAGTAAATTAAGTTTCCCTTTTTTATTATATATTATTATCTTATTTAGTTATATTTTAATTAATTTAATTTGTGTTTGGCCAAAAAAAAAACTTTAATTTATTTCTAAGAGAGCTTTCAGGGGAGATAAAGAGTCTAAAGAGGCATGATTGAAGAAACACATAAGATTTTATTACCAAACAACTTCTGCTTTACAAGAGAAGCTGAAACCTCCTTATACAAACATGGAGCAGAGGATTAGGACAAACAGCATTTAATTACAAGTAGACAAACATTTATCACATGCCAGGTTATTTTAGACAAAGTAAAAGTGATATGTTAAATTGAAACAATATTTTAAGTACCGATTATTTAATATCATATAGCTTTATAATTTTTATCTTTTTTAGAAAATTATATCTTTAAATCTCACACGAGTAATTTGTCTTTACTCAACTAATTACTTGATAATTTCTAACTAACAAGGAATTTCATCCCAATGTTACTCAAATAAAAATAAAAAGTGAAGTAAGGCAATTCTTATATTAATTAATAATATATTAATTAATAAGTGAAGTTGAGCAATTAATAATATTTTTAAAATAAATAAATAAGTAAAGTAGGGTCATTAATAAGTGAAGAATGAGAGTTCTTATATTGATTTATATGCAGGGAAATTTTATTATTTTTTTAAAAATTTAATATTAAATGAGTGTCTTAAACAATAGTGAAATTTTAAAATTTTAGAAAGTTTGAATTAAAATGGGTGTAGTTAAGGATGTTTTTTACTAAAATTCTCCCTCGTAATAAATACTAATATTTTACGTGTCGATATTTGATTCATTTTGTTGTAACGGCCTTGTACTATTTATCTGCTTTAACAGTGAGCCTGCCAGGATATTGAATACTTTCCTTATTTTTCATTTAAATCACATAATGTTACAAAAAGGGCGTGAGGAAAATTGGTCCCCACCTGTCTTGTTCTAGATCCGTCCCACGCTTAAACACGGTAGGGTCATAAAGGAAAGAGCTTGTATTACAAAGCTAACAAAAGGATGACATCAGTTCCATCGTAAAGCTAAAACTAGACTCTCATTCTCATTCATATGAGCAAATGCAGACAACACAATCTTCTCAAAAATGAAACTACAAAAGCGTGTTTGTGTGGTTACATGCTTCAATACTAACCAGATAATAAAGTTTAATTAAATAGATATCTAACTCCAGCATGTACAATACATGGAAAGTAGGTGACGGTGGAGATATGGGCTTTTTAAATATATAATAAGAATATTTTGATAATTGAGTATACAAATATATGTATATTGAAGTTAAGAATGTTTTTGCATTTTGTGGGAGTTTATTATTATTTTTTTTTGGTAAGATTTTATTGTGATTCTCCCAAGTTTCTATGAAGCATCCAAGTCAAACCACACGTTGATGAGCAAAATCAAGGAGATATTGGGGACTTTGAGGAGTTTAAATTAAAGTAATTAAATATGATTGGATTATAATCAATTTGTGATTTTTTAAGTAGGGAAAAATTTTGTGATTTTTTTTATTTATTGTAGTTTCATATATTTTGTTTATGTTGATAATAACATTTATTATAATTATTTTCATTTATCATAGATTGATTTTATATTTATAAGAGTGTAAATCATGCATGCTGAATGAATAAGACGATGCAATTTATACAATTTATTGTCTCTTAATTTCATTCTTCTTTGTATCACACTCATTTCTCTCGTAATCAACGTATCCATCCATAAGTCCCAAAGGCCCTCGAAAAGAAAGCTGGAAAAAGAAAACCGGCCAAAATAGCACAAAGAAAATGCTATCAAAAATAAAAAGCAATACTATTAATTAATTCTTATATACTTCCTCCATTTTTATTTGTAAAAAAAACTATCATTTTTTTACATAAGCAAAATCACCTATTTCAATAAATATTTATTACACATTTCTTAAATCACTTCTCATAATTTACATTAACGAAAAATAATTAATGCATACTTATATTAATTAACATAAGGCATTTTAGTATAGTTTTTTTTATCTCTAGACATAATTATTATGATTAAACCGCGTAATATAGTTTTTTTATATATATAAAAACGGAGGGAGTACATCTATACGTGCTTGCTGATGATAATAACTCCTTCCATTTTAAATTATAATATACTTTTAGATAAAATCTCATATATTAATAAATCTTATTAAATATATTTAACAACTTTATTTTTTAAAATAAAAATATAAACTTTTAAAAAAATTATTTAATATATTAAAAAGAGAGATTGACAGAAATTAAATAGAAAGAAAAAGTATAATATTAAAATAAATTAATTTAATATAATTTTAATATTCTTAAAATATTTTATATTTTGAGATGTTAATTTTTTAAAAAAATATATTATAATTTGATATAAAGATAGTAATATATAATGATAATACCTAGGCGTACAAACAAGGCCATAAAAGAAGGTACCAAACTTTCATAACTTCATGCAAAATATCACCCACCTACTGTTGTTTTTATTATCAAGCCTTCGACGAATCAATGAACTGCTGCTTAGCATCACCAACCAACGTACCGAAAGTCAGAAAGACACAATGCCAGAAACTTTGAAAAAAAAAAGAGAGAGCATATCACAGGAGAGTCAAATATAACAGTGATGAAGAGGGGAAGGGTCGTGCGAGGTAAGAGTGTGAGGTAAGAGTATTTAGCTTATACCTATATCGATCAATCTAATTTCATTCAAGTTATATTAGAATGTGTCTCGTCTCAGCTTAAAAATAATCGAGATGAGACTTTTACAAGGTAGGATGGGACATAAGATTATCCTTAAAACGTCCCGTCCTATCCCGAATATTATATAGAGATATATATATATATATATATTAAAAAAACATATACATTAAATATATTAATTATATTAATATAATTGATACTTATATTAATTATAATTTTAATACTTGCTATTCTTATTTAAATTTTAAATTTTTTATATTGATAATTTTAATGATATAGAACAAGCAGTACATGTTACTATTTTTCTTTACAATATATTAATTATACTAATATAATTTATTCTTATATCTACCTATTTAAAAACTTTTATTTATATCATATTTCTTACTTTATTTTAGGAAAAGTCACTTGTTTAACATATTTTAACTAAAGAAAAAGAACAATAACTTAATGTTGTGCTAGATTTGTCTATTATTGTTACTCTTATAGTCTAAAAATTATTTAAAATTGCTATCATAATTTGTTATGTCTCATATATATTTAACTTTAAGTTATATATTTATAATTGTGATTGATGTAATTCAATAATTATTGTGATTCATGTATTTGTGTTGTTTTGGTTTTGGTTTTAAACTTAATAAATTATGTGATTTAAAATTTTAATTAATGAATGTTATTATCTAGGCTTTTCTCCCACATTATCTACTTTATAGGGATAGCAGGACATTTTGATTTTGTCCTGATCTCATCCCATCCTGATTCCTAACAAGATTGCAATGGAAAACAAAAAGGTATTGTAGAAACAAATATAAGCTACAAAATATTACAGAAATTGATGAAAAATGCACAGAAGGCATGGAAGAGGTCAAAAGAGGCGGCTTGAGAGGTAGAAGGCGAATGCTGAATTACTAGAGGTGATTAGTGTTAATCACTTAATTAATTAGTGCCTTAAAAGTGGTATAAAGGGTATCCCAATTAATGTATTAGAAATAACTAGGAGATTATATATCCCACCTAAAGAGAGATGTTAATATGAGAAATTCTTAAATGAATCTAATGCATCATATCATTCATGGTCCATCTAATAAAATTGTACCAATTCAATCAAATAAATATTAAGTGTGATTATTTTTAATGATTTTATTTTTATAATAGAATACTTATTTAATTTCTTAAATTTTCTCTCTCTACTATCATTAATGTAAGAATAATTTATATTTAATATTACTTAAATATCATATTTTTATTAGATAGATCATGGATGACATGGAGCACCGAGTCCATCTATAAATTGAGAAATATTTAGGTAGATCAGATATGCCACGTCATTTGTGATTTATTCAATAAAAACATAACATTTAATTTAGATGCCATTAAATATAAATTAATTCTGATATTAACGATAATAAAGAAAAAAATGTAAGAAATTAAATGTGCATTATGTTATAACAATAAAATTTATTTAAAAAATATGATATAATATTTTATTTAAATTATTTGAAATATTTCAATTGAATAGATTACAAATGACGTATTGCATCTGATTTACCTAAGTATTTCTCCTATAAATTTCTTTGCTAATAGAGAAATTCTTATAGATCAGGTGTACCACATCATTTGTGGTCTATTCAATCAAAATACCTCAAAATATCTAAAAAAAATATTATATGAGATTATTTTAATTAATTTTATTCTTATAACAAAATACATATTGAATTTCTTTTCTTTTATCTTTCTATTATTATTAATGTCAAAATTAATTTATATTTAATGACAATTAAATGCCATGTTTTTATTCAACATACCACAGAAATGATATACCACCTGATTTATTTAAGAATTTCTTCAGTTAATATATGTCCTTACCTCATATGTGCCCAAAAATTTTGGGGTTGTTTCATGATTCTTTAGGTTGAAGATTTCTTTATAATGTTCCATCATGATCACCAATAAAGGTTGTTCAATTTTCTTCTTTCGTTCAAGTCGTAAAGTCCACACATGTTAAAGAGAACATTTTTTTTAAAAATAACAAACAAGATTAAAAATTCAAATTCAGAATAAATAAAATGTTCTTGGAATAAAGGGAAAGTAGGTGATCATCACTCATCAGAGTGAGCCATTGACAAGGTCGAGAATGGCTTCCCAATCATCTCCAACACCTGAGACTCCCAAGTTTTCGTGCGGTGATGAGGCTGAGTTCTCATTAAATCCAAACACCAACACATCGTCATCATGGAGATCTTCCATATTACAGTTATAAACTGTTGATTGGAGTTCTTCCATGGCTGCCATTATACTGTCGTCGCTTCGCAAGCTTTTCACGACGTTGATTCCACTGTCATTTGCGACCGTGGTGGAGGAGGACGAAGGAAGTTGTAAACATTTATTGATTTCAGTACTATTCGTACATTTTGACTTGGAAACGACGGCGTCGGGGAAGCACAACGTCGACGCCGGTGACTTGAGGTCGTTGGTGGCAAGCATCATGGCGTACATGCTATGCATTCTGGGGTTGTTCTGATCTGTTGAGGGCTTCCACGTGGATGGCGACCACGAATTCTGCCATGCCTTGAGCACGTCGAGGCACGGAGGTGGTGATGGCCAAGGTGTGATCTTGTTGAGAACGAGCCGAGTCATTGGAGGCGAGCCGAGCTGCTGGTTCTGGAGCTGCAGCTTCGAATATTCTCTGACTTGTCGGGCCTCGGCTTGGAGCCGAGCAGTCTCCCACTGAGCCATATGGCTGAGGTTGGCCGCGTCCCTGGACTGGTCGCCATTAACGGCGTCGTTTAAGGGCTTGTGGGTGGACGGGTTTATACCCATTCTGGTGAGCCTCTTCTTAAGGTGGGTGTTCCAGTAATTCTTGATCTCGTTGTCTGTTCTCTTTGGCAAGTGAAGCGCTATGGCCGACCATCTTGTACGTGCATTATAGAATGTACGCCAAGAAGCTATATTTTAGGAATCGTATATATGTGATTCACCATTATGGTTCACCATTCATTCAAAGAATTGAACATTTGAGGAAAAAGTGGGAATCTGTGGGACTTATCATTACCTGTTTCCAAAAAGAGCATGAAGTTGTATGATGGTCTGGTCTTCCTGTAAACTGAACTTGCCTCGTTTGATGTCAGGACTTAGATAATTTATCCATCTCAGTCTGCAACTCTTCCCACATCTCCGTAGTCCTCTTGGTCGTCAAAACATAAATCGCATTACTCATTTAAAAAAAAAAAAAAAATTTGCCCTTGATCTAGTCTTCATCATGAGAAAGAAAAACACAAGCATATAAACATGTTAACATTGGGTTCAAAATAAATCCTCTTCCAAAAAAGGAAATTGCATTGTCAGGACAACTAGAGGTTAAAAATTTAAAATTACTCATCGATAAGTCTATTATCATATATTACAATCATTTACCATTCCATGGTAAAAAGAAACTAGAATCTACGAGGTGGTTATTAGTATATATGAGCGTGTTTGTGTGAAAAACAAAAGGTAGTAGAGTAATGAATGAAAGATTTGGCGTAGGAAACTATGCTTACCAGCTTTTGCAGGCAAGGAAGACCAGCTTCCGTGGCCGTGTTGTTGAATGTAAGACATGAGCTTCTGGTCTTCCTCAGGAGTCCATGGCCCTTTCTTCAACCCTGCTGGTTTCTCGCAACACGATGAGGACTTGACCATTTTGGTCTCCGGGAAATGCGCGAGAGAGAGAGAGAGAAGAAACAAGAACTACAAAGACAAGAGAATGAGGGAGCTGTGAAACAGACAATGTCAAGCCAATCGAGGGACATTGAAGTCATATAGAGAGAGAGGGGAAGGGAGGGAGGGGGAATATATTACCTCTGGATCTCCTGAGAATGCTCTGGAGAGGAGAGACAAATAGTTTAACAGAAACAGGCTAGGAGACGATAGAATGGGAAGTAGCTAGCTACAGCAATACAGGTAGGAAATAGAGGGCAATTTAAGTATGAAGCAAAGAAAAGAAGTCATACAAAAATAAATGAAACTAAAAAGGCTTCGCATTAAGTATTTATAATTTTAGGATACCACATGGTTTCGCACCTTCTTTTTACAGTCGGCCTACGACTGTCAATATTTATTATTTACAAACTTAGAGTGTATTTGATTGGGGGGAAGAGTAGGGAATGGGAGGGGCTCCCTTCCCCTCCCCTCATTTGGTTAGGAGGAGGGGAGCCCCTCCCCTCTCCTCCAAAGCCTCCCCTCCAAATTGGGGGGAAGCTCACCTCCCCTCTCCTTCCCCTCCTTTTCCTCCCCTCACCTCCTTTTTTTTTCTTTCTTTTTCTCTTAAACTAAACACACCCTTAGAGTGAGGGTTTTTTCCATTAAATCGTTAAAGAAACGTGTCGCAACTAGAAAGAAGAAAGAGAACAAAAATAAAAAGAGCATGGTAGAATTGAAGTACTCGTCTCGTATGTCTGCCATTCGAACTTGATATCATCTGGAAGATTAGGGGATTGGAGTGGAGTGAAATTTGTGCAGCGATTGGAAAGTGAGTTAATATCGACCGTGTCTTAATGGCTAAAAAGAGAGAAATTAAAGGTGGATAATTTACTTCTCAGCGTGAAGCCCTCAAATATTAAGATTTTAAAATTTCATTTTTTTTACAGTCTCTTCGTCGTTTTTTTCTATACTCCTATCCGCAACTTGACAGGTTCATCTATGGTGTTCAACGGGAATGGTGCTTGTTATCTTGATATCTGAATCATTTAAATTTTAATCTAAATAATTTAAATTTAAAATTATTTTGATTTTGATTTATATTTATTAAAATAAAAATTTACAAAACTTTTTAACAAATGATTTATCATCAATCGTGACAGTGTAACTTTAATTTGGATAGTTCAATTAAATTTTAGTATTTTAATAATTTTATATATTATCTATCCAGATCTATTCTAGACATCTAGATTTAACATTAATTTTTAGTAATTTTTAAATAGAATATTAAGAATAAAGATAATATCTTAATGGGTACTTTTCTTTTTAATAATATTTTTTAAACAAATTAATTAATTAAAAATTTTTAAATTGGATTATCAATTTATAAAATTTTAAAAAATTTTAATATTAAATTTGGGCAATTCTAGTTATATGGTTGCTAATGAACAGATTTATTGAAATTTATTAAAATTTTTTATTTTTATTTTTATTAAATATAAATTTAAAACTTTAAATCTACATCTAGATGTCCAGATTTCATCAGCTCGATGAGTACTGAAGATGGCTCCCAACTTGACAGAGCATCCAAAACTGGAATTGTGACGAGACAACCAATTTCAATAAGAAATTTGGACTTGGCAGTGATTAAGCAAGCTTATGTGGGGAAGAAGAACTAGTTACTGTGCACGGCGATTAGGGATCCTGGGCCCAAAACAATCTCAGGAGTGGTGAAGCTAGACGTTTCGAGAGGAGATGAAGACGTGACTGCACGATGGGGTACAGGCTGTTTGGAGAAGGATGCTACAGCAGATCAGAGCCATTCTTCATGGCGAGAGATCCAGAGGATGCAGACGCAGAGGAAGACGATGGGTATGTGTCGACGTTCGTGCATGGCGAGATAAGGGAGAGTCGAAGTTATTGGTGAACGGTGATGGACGCGAAGTCTTCGGAGCTTGATGTGGCGGCGGTGGCGAGACTACCACGACAAGTTCCTTACAAATTTCATGGGCTTTTTGTGAGGGAAAGCGATCTGAGGAAGCTTTGGTGTTGAACTGATGGTGACCATTCATGTTCATGGGAATCAACCACAGTCACCAGAAAAAATAGATTTTCTTAATGTTTGTGCGCTTCACAATCTATATAAATTTTGAAACAATTTATGAACAGTGAATTACCAATATTGCCCCCCTTTTTCCTTCGTACTTGCTGAGCTCATGCCGTGCGCCAGTGGCTCTCATGCTGTTAATTGCATTACTGTACATGTGCAGTAAAAGAAAAATCATCTACCGTATATATACAGTAAAAAGCAACATTTAATATTTTTATTCTTTTGAAAAACAAATCGTTTTTAAAAATATCTTTAATAATCAATTATTAACACATATTTATTAAAAAATTAACAACATGAAACATTGTTTGTAATATTTTTATTTTTCTGAATTTTATAAAATTCTTAGATTTTTTTTAATTTATCTTTTTATTTTACATTTTTTTAAATGACTTATAACTACACATTATATATGGATTAATAAATTCTAAGTTATAATATGTTGTTAAAAAAATATTGTTAAAATATTTTCACATCTATGACACTTAATATTTTAATTGTTTTCAAAAACATATATTTTTAAAAATATTTTTTATCATGAATTATTAGTAAAATATATATATATATATATATATAAAAGTAACAACATAAAAAATGTTTTTAACAATTTTATTTTAGTTTTTTATTTTTTGAATTTTATGAAATTCTTAGATTTTTAATTTATCTTTTTATTTTAAATTTTTTTAAATGACTTATAACAATGCATTACACATGAAGTAATACATTATGAGCTATAGTATATTGTTAATTTTTTTAATTCTCATGAATAGTAAATTATTAAATATTTTTTTGTATTATTATTTAAATTAAGTTTTAAATTGAACGAGGTGAAAAATCATAGAATAAAATAAGATATTGTTTATAATTTTAACATGTATTAGAATAAAAATTATAAAATAAAATTAGTGGTTTATTATATTTTTAATTTGAAAGGGATAATAAATTTTGAATTGCAAGTTGCTACTAATATTTTTTAATACGCATGTTTATATTGTTTATATTTTGATGAGTTTGGTGTTAAAAAATACAAAAATATGGTTGAAATTTTTAATTGATTTTTCTTTTTTCTTTTTCTCTTTCATTTTCTCTCTATTAGAATGTTATAATTCTATTTGCCTATATTTTTAAATCAAACTAAAATCTCTCCTTTCTCCCTCTACTTTTTTTAAACTAACATGTGTTATGGGGTTTGCTTTAATTTAGAGAAGAGGTAATGTTATCAATAAAATTCATAAGGTGAGGTATTATTGTCAAAAATTTTCAATTCTTTCAAACTCATCTTAATTTTATGAGTATAGGCAAGGAACTTAATTCCATCAAAATTGATGAAAGTGAGTTCTGACATATCAAACAATTCAAATTTTGAATTTTACTTTTACTTTTCACTTATCTAGCCCCAATTCTCACTAAATGTGGCATTAATGTAACGTAACTCTCTCCTCTTCTTTTCTTTCTTTCTTTTTTTCATATTTTTTTCATTATATAAACTTTTATACAATAATGATTTGGTGCATATGAGATAAAAAGTAATCAATTCGACAATACGACATCATACAAACCAAATTCACATCAATAAGATATAAATTTTATTTTCTTGAATATTTAACATTTTTTATAAATAAAATAAAAGTCCGTTGAAATTTAAATTATTCTATTTTATTTTCTCACCATTAAAATTCTTTAGCTATGGCTTTTTTCATTCATTAAAAGAGAGACATATTTCTTTTATATATTCTCTTGCACATTAGAATGTACAAAGTCGTTATATCATTTGCATGCTTTAAATAAATGTATAATTATTTTAAAATAATACATAAATAACTAATATTAAATAAATAAGACAATAATATAAGTTAAAGATTCTGTTTAACAAATAAAAAAAATTATTGTAGTAATATATAATAGATTAATGTTTTTAAAATTATAATATTTTACATCATTTATGATGGCGAGGACTAATTCTAGTTGAGAATAAATTATACACCTCTCCCCCTTCTTAGCCATTAGATAAAAGACATGGTCAAGATTAACCCACTTCCCAACCACCACACAAATTTCACGATGTAGGATCCAAATCCGGAAGAGTTAGGGCGTAGAACATTAACCACCAATCTACAAGTTCATAGAATTGAAGTACTCAATTCAGCACTACAAACATTATCAAGGCAAAAAAAAAAAAAAATTCCTCCCATCCTCCTTTATACACCTGAACCATTCATATTTAATCCAAATGCATGGTCCAAGTTTAAAATTTTATCTATTAAATTAATAATTTACAAAAATTATAAAAAATTCAATAAATTTAGGGGCTTTAGCTAATTTAACCAATGTTATATAGTTAAATAAAACTAATAAGTCACCTTTTCCTAAATTAAGATAATGATCATTTTTTAATTTACCTTTGACACAAAAGATAAAATTACCCTTAAACATCACAATACCTTAATTCCTCTTTTTCACACTAGTTTCAGTTTCACTCACTCGAAGACATGGAGACGACATTATACTCTCGATCACGACGGCGAAGAAATTAACAATAGACAATGAAACAGCTCACACTGATGGATAAACGGAGTTAGAGATTCAATTAGGAGACCACAAGAGCACGAGACGAGGCGAGGTAGACTGGAAGCTATAGATTCAAGTTGAAAAATTACAAATGCAAGGTGAGGAAGTTTGAAATTGTAGCTTCTACATAAAGCCACACTAAAGCTGCAGATCCAAGGTGAGGAAGTCCGATCAAACTTTGTTACAAAAGTCAGAGTTCAAACAAGGGTTTCTTGAAATTTTGTTTGATCTATTTTGAAAAAAATAATTATGTGTTTTTCGTATTATTGATTTGTGATACTACATCATTGATATATGACTATATATCAATTATAAATAAGTTTATATTTGATTGTCTGGTTATATTGATTTACGATAGTATATCAATGATATACTATTATATGTCACTAATATAT